TTCTCACTTTCCCTCTCTCTCTCTGGTGAGCACACATGCCCTTTAGCAAATTTAAAATAATAATATTAATTAATTTTTAAAAATCAAAATTGTGGCTTGTGCTACCCAGAGAAGGAAAGTGTGAGCCCCGTGCCAAGCAGCACCTGCAGGGAGTCACTGTCACCTGTCCACAAAGCTCTCCCCGACTTGCGGAGGTGGAGGGTCCCTGCCTTTTCCCACTCGGTTCTGTTGAGAAAGCAAAGACCACTCACAGGGCTGAGCAAGGACCAGGGTGCTAACAGTGGTCGAGTTTCTAGAAAACACAAGCAAACCTTTTTTAAGACTTTTTAAAAATTTTTAAGTTTATTATTTTTTAATTTGACCAGAGAGAGAGGGAAAGGAAGGACCGGAAACAGTCGACCACGCGGAAGTCCAGAGCCTCCACCACCACCCCACCCGCTGGCCCCAATGCAGGCAAACTCTAAATCGGGGAGAGGGTTTCCCTGTTCTGCGGCAGGTCGGGGCCGGTGAAGGCGATGTGCCGGGCCGGGCTGGAAGCCAACGCTGCAGGTGGGCAGCTCCAGTGACCTGGCTCTGAGGGTTCCTTAGGCGGACGCTGGGGGACGGTGGGCAGAGGCCAGTCCCCAACATGAAGCGGCAGCGAGGCCTTGCGGCTGGGCCACCAGCTAGGTACAAGCTCATCCCTGACTGCTCCACGAATTCATGAAGCAGAACATGGAGGAGGGGACTGGGAATAAATGTGTCCTGTTCGAAGTGAACGGGGTCGCGTTCTCGTCTTTTCTGGGGGCCTGGAGGTGGGCACCCCTTGCAGAGGACCAGCCCTGGCCAGGACGTTTGCTCTGTACTGAGGAGACTCCTGACAGAACTGGGCGAGTTGAAAAGGTCTGGGGGTTCATTCAGGGTCCACTTGACTGGATCAAAAGGGAGGCCCACAGAGCTGGACCGCGTCTGGGCTATGAGAAGGTTCCAGGGAAGCACTCTGGGACCCCTGCCTGCCACAGGAAGAGCAGGCAGCTCTCGCAGGGTGGGGACGCCCTGTCCTCCTGCCTAGACATCAGCCCCAGGCGTTCGGACCCAGACTGAGCCAGCTTTGGCTTCCCTGGTGGGCTGGGGTCCCCTCGTCCGTGTCTGGAGAGCCTGCTAGTACCAACATTGCCACGTGGGAGCCCAGTGCCCTGTGGGAAGGCAGTCGGAGGACGGGTCTCTTACCCGACACTGGAGTCGGCCCACCTTGTTCCCCCACAGCCCAGCACTGCAGCATCGGGTGCCCCGCACGCTTGTCACATCAAACTTCCATGCAGGGTCTAACCAGGTGGTCATCAGGTCCCCATGGCATGGCTCACTAAATGTTAGAACGAGCCCAGCCGGCCTGGGCGCTGCATCCCACTTCCGGGCTTTGCCCAGGAGCAGAGGCTGCGGTGCACAGGTGTCTCGAGAGCCAAACAGCTGAGCTGTGCAGTCTGCCTGTGGTCACCCAAGACCAGCTGCCCAGCAGTAACCAGAGGGGGCTGCCCAGTGACCCTGGTACCACATGCTCAGTGCAGGCACGAGGTGACACCACTCAGAGGTGGGACCCAGCCCAGCCCAGGGCACCCGAGTGTCCGATCACAGCACTCCTGTCCCATGGCCACCGCTCGGGCCTGAGTGGGAGAGGGCATTTCCAGCCACAGAACGGAGGGAAGGGCAGGGTTGGGGGTAGAGACAAAAAGGAAAATGCCCTTTCCCTAGTTCTGGACAGACCCAAGGACGGGGCACAGCATGTGGGTGTTTAACAATTGGTGCTGAGGAAGGAACTGTGGCCCAGCCCCCCAGACAGATGGTATTCAAGGACCGGCCTCTAAGGAAGCCATTAAGGTTAAATAAAACTCAGGGCCAGCAGTTGGCGTGGCAGCTAAGGGAGCTGGACTCCCACAGTCGACAGTGGTTCGAGTCCAGGACCTGGCAGCTTGCTTCTGTTTCCTTTTCTCTCGCTCTCCCTCTGTCCCTCTCCAGTCAAATTAAAATAAAGTTAAATAAAAATAATTCTTAGGAAAAAAGGGTTAAATAAGATCATAAGCATGACCCTGACCTGGCAGGACAGGTGCCTTTACAGTGAGAAGGCCCTGTCAAGCCCAGAGGGGGGCTCCGAAACCACCCATGCAGGTGCCTCACTCTGACCTTCAGCCTCCAGACCAGGAGTGTATGTGTCCAGTTGCCCACCTGGCCAGCAGATGTCTGAGACGGGGAGAACCCAGCAGCTGGGCCCTGAGCCAAGGGCCCCCAGAGGCCACACAGATGACTGCAGGGGGTGGCCACGTCCTGCTCCCAGCGCCTGGGGAACACCCCACCTGTGCAGCTTCGACGGCCTGGCTGCCATCAGGGACCAAGAGGCTTAAAACCCACACGCCAGACGGAAGGGCCCAAATGTCCACGCAGGTCATGGACGAGCGAGGTGGCCTTTTGAGGACATTTGTCCGGCCTCAGACGGGGTCCTGACCTGCCACACAGGTAGAGCTTTGAGAACATGCTAGGGAAGCTGTCATAGGACACTCAGGTTTCCACCTAACTCAGAAATGGCAGTGTGGGTTGGGCCCTGCTGACACACCCGCTTTCTGGCCCTGCGTCGGTGGAGCAAATGTCTGGATCACTGGAAACCCGCTCATCAGTCGGTTTGTCCTATGCCCTGGCTTTTTTTTTTTTTTTGGAGAGGTTTTTACTCTAGAGTGCCTGCACTCGCCAGAGACAGACAAAAAGCAAGAAATCACCCCCCAGGGGGGATGGTCACACGCTGCAATCCCTTCTCCTCCATTCTCCTCTCAGGATCTTGGGCTCAGCATGCACACGCACCCAGCGGTTCTGGGACTCGAACCAGTCAACTACATGGAAGCCCAGCGACATGACCATTACGCTAACTGCTAGTCCCCTAAGCCCTGGCTTTAAAGTAGCCCCTCTGGCCTCTCCACTGTGCCCCAGCCTTCTTCCCAGATTGACATTTTGACAACGAAGAATGGGATTCAGGTCAGTCAGCGTTCAGGACCAATTCCGAGCCCTTGTGTTCTGAACCCAGAGGCCACTGACTGCAGACCCAGCTGGCAGCTGCCAAGTCTGTCCCTGGCAAGGGAAGGCCCCGTCCAGTCTCTGCTCCCGAGTGGCAGAGGGAGCTGCTGGGTTCTTGCCCGTCTTGTGACAGATATGGATAAACGGTTTTCTGTCTGGGGTGGAGGGGTTCCAGACAGCCACAGTGACAGTTCTGTCCTCCGGGAAAGGTCGGAAAGGTCACAGCAGCAGCTGACTTCAGGTCTGTGGTCTGGGTTTCCTTAGCTCCATCCCCCGAGGGCATGGATGACTTATGACAAAGGGGCCAGCAGATGGCATAGCTGCTACATCACTGGACTCCCACATGGCCAACTGCAGTTTGAGTCCCGGACCCAGTGGCTTAAAATGCACACCAGGCACGTGTGCGTATGTGCCCAAGATCCTGGGAGGAGAATGAAAAAGGGATTGTGGCATGACCATCCTCCCTGGGGAGTGATTTCTTACTTGTCTCTCCACCACCCACCTGCCACACACACATGCATCCTAAGGCAAGAACCTTTAAAAAACAAAAAAATACCCGTCTAAATTATGGAAAACCACTTGTCAAAAAGGGGAAAAAAAACTTAGAAACACCATCTTATTTTATAAATATTTCATGACAGGGCCAGCAGATGGCATGGTACTTAAGGGCGCTGGATGCCCACACAGCTGACTATGGTTCAAGTCCTGGACCTGGAGGCTTGCTTTCTCACTTTCCCTCTCTGTCCCTCTCTGGTGAAATTTAAATAAAGAAAAAAAGCTAAATAAAATTAAAAAAAAAAACCTACAAATATATAAATAAATATTTTTTGAAATTCTACCTTGTGTCTAGTGAACAGCCAGCACTGACCTCTCTGGCACAACGTGAGAAGCAGTGGCAGGCCTCAGCCACCCTACAGTGGTGGAAACCGCACGTGACTACTGCCTGTCCCATGTCCAGCTTGTCTATACCAGCAGTGGCCCCACGGCCAGGTGCAGGCCCTGCACAGCGCCCTCCAGCACACACTTCTCCGACACCTCAGGACTCCTGGCCCCAGAGCCCACAAGCAGACAGCTACTTCAAACGGCAAGTCATGGAACACGGCAGCTGGGCCGTGGAGGACACTCGTCACAGGACGAGTCAGCCCGTTTGTACACTCGGGTGTCCCTGCTCCGCACTCAGTGGATGATGGTGAAAGCGTGGCTGCCACAGGTGGGTTTCTGGGCCAGGGCTCTCCAGACCGCCATAACCTGAAGATGCCTACAGAGGTCACCTGGGTCAGGCTGGGAGCAGAAGGAAAGGGGTCTGGAAGAGGCTGACCCAGAGGCTGCTGGCTTGTCACTCCTACGGCTTCTCCCCTCCTGCAGGAGGCACCAGGACTGTGACCACCACGAGCACGCCAGGGCTGCCTCGGTGCTCACGGCAAGGCCACCAGGTTGCGCCGTCTGGGGCTGATGAGTGTTGGGCCACCAGAGAGTGAGCGGAGCCACCTTCGCCCTGGGCCTGGTGGGTCACGGGATGCCTCTCGCTCCACTGGGAGCATCTTGGCGGCTCCAAGATGGACTGCCCTCATGCTCTATGGCCCTGGCACAGCTGCACGCCAGGCAGCCCTGCAGACCTGACCGCCGTCTCCAGGAGCTGTGACAAGACGTGGTGTATTTTTTTTTTTTTTTAAGATTTTAGCTTTAGAGTGTGTACATTGCTGGAGAGAGACAGAGACAGTGAGAGGGAAAGTGAGAAATCACCCCAAAGGGATGGCCACACCACAATCCCTTCTCCTCCAGGGATCTTGGGCACGCACAGGTGCACCTGGCATGATTTTCAAGCCACAGATCCAGGACTTGAACCGTGGCTGACTGGACGGAACCCGGCAATGTTCCTGCTATGGCAACAGTGGTGCTGCCCTGCCAACTCCGAGAGCGGACCCCAGGTTCTGCTCCCCCACCCACGCCAGTTCCGAGCGCTGCGTCCTGCCTATTCCCCCACCCCGCATGCTGTGCAGCGGAGGCCGGGCAGGTCCTGGTCGTCCCCCTGCAGGTGAGGGCGGGCAGGTCCTGGTTGCAGGCCCAGTCGGGGTGGGGCCTTCCACCCTCCTCAGGGGTGTGGCCAGCCCAGGGCCCTGGCGCCGGGCACCCGCTCTCTCCTCCTATACTCCGTAATCTGCCTGTTGAGAGCCTCGTGGTCAATCCCGCAGACACTCTCGGGTGCAGTTGGCTCCGGGGTGTCAGCAGGTAACCAGGCGCCAAGGTTCCTGGGGAGAGAAGAGGCACCTGTCACATCCCTGCACTGGCAGCCTCGGGGCCAGGAGTGGGTGGACGGCAAGTTGTCCTGCCAGGAACTGGCAGCCCTGCACTGCCACCATCTGGGTTTCCCACCTGCCGGCCGTGAGACCTCGCTCTAGGGTCCCTGACCTGCTGAAAAGGAAGCCACACAGGGCCTGGTTCAAAAGGCAGCCTATAGGCAGGCACCTGCTCCTCGCCCCTGCCTACTCGGGAGGGATCCCTGCCCTACCACTGCCCACTTGCTGGGCTCGCCCTCTGCTCCAGCCCAGTGGACCCCTTCAGCAAGCCAGGTGCAGCGGGCGCCAGAGCCGCTGCCGTCAAGACCATGGCAAGACCCCACCCTAGTGCCCTGCCCTGTGCCCCCACCCAGCTGACACACGACAACCTCGCTGTGACCCCGACCGCTTCCCGTCGGCCTCCCCAGCAGCACAGGCTCTAGGCTGGGGCAGCCCAGGACCACCACACAGGGCACAGGGACGTGCCGGGCGAGTGGGGTAGGACAGGAGCAGCCAGTGCCCCGGGCACCCACAGAGGCCCTCTCCGGGCAAGCCACAGGCCAAGCCCAGGTGGCAACAGACTGGCACATGGGACCAGGCAAGTGCCACAGGGCAGCACTGCCGGGCACCTAGGAACCCCGGGGAGTCCCCGCGCCCACACGTCACCTGGAGTCATTCTGAGCGTCGTCTCTGTCACCTGGTGGTCCAAAGTCAGCCACAGCCAGCAGCTGATCAACCTGGAAAGGACGCCCGGGGCGGTGCTGAACCACTGCCCTGCACAGCTCGGCAGTCTGACGGGCACTGCCGTGCTCCCAGGCCAGCGCCCACACCCTTCCCTTGCCCTGAGCAGGGGCTGCCCAACTGCTCCAGACAGCTCCCTGCTGTGTTTGTTAGGGCATGAGTGCTCACCAGAGGGACAGGGACAGCAAGGAGCACCCGAGAGGGGGTGCCACATCACAACCCTCTCCATTCTCCTTTGGGACTTTGGGCACACATGTGCATGCACCCAATGTTTTTCAGGCTACCGGGTCTGGGACTTAAACCGTGGAACTGGCCACGTGGGACCCAGCACCTTAACCACAAAGCCACCTGTCGATCCCTTCCTGGCCTTTTTAATGTATCATCATCTCTGATAATGAACTGCAGTTCTTTATTTCTGAAGAATTATTAAATTTTATTTATTATTATTTTAAAAGCTTGCTATAGGGCACACACACTCATGAAAGAGAGAGGAGGGAGGGGAGAGAGAGAGAGGGAGAGGGAGAGGGAGAGAGGGAGAGAGGGAGAGAGGGAGAGAGGGAGAGAGGAAGAGAGGGAGAGAGAGAGGGAGAGAGAGAGAGAGAGAGAGAGAGAGAGAGCACGAACAAGCCAGCCACCAGGCC